GCACCGCACCAAAAAAATAGAGAGCAACTGAGCATGTGCAGAGCAGGGTGAGACAAGGTATTACTGGATTTTAAACACTACAGGCACTTATTTTCAATATTTTACACAGGTATAATTGCAAAAGCAGCCAGCCTGAAGTGATCTAGCAGGACTTAATTTTTCTCACTAAAGTCCCACTTTAAGTGCTAAAGGATATTACATTTTTCTCAGTGTCTATAAAAGAGCTCATCGTGCCTTGAAATCATTCAAGACCTCCTTTCAGATCTTGGAAATCTTGAAACTATACTAAAGTCACAAAGAGATAGAGCACATCAGCCACATGAACCACCTAAGACACGACTTCCAATAAAATAATAAAATACAATAACATACTCATAAACAAGTTAAAATTGCAAGCTTGTAACTATTCATGACATCTTATAGAAAAAACATCTCCATTGTTCAATTGGTTCTATGGAAGAACCCACTTAACAACATGCAGAGGGTAAACTGTAGCTGACACGTTTCAAAGGGCAAGTTTACTTCCTCAGAGCTACCTACTTGCACATATACTTACCCTTAATTGTTATTATCCTGAATAATATTTCTATCTATTATCTATCTATCTATCTATCTATCTATCTATCTATCTATCTATCTATCCTTCCTCAGTCTGTCCATATCTTTCCTCCACAGGATGTATTTTTCCTATTTATAGCATGGTATTTGTAAAAATGAACACACAACATTAGCTGCTGAAGCAGAACTGTTTGAATGAGGAATTTCAGTAAACCGCAATTTCCTGGAAACAAATCTTTAGCAAATAATGTTATGGAAAACCTGTTTTAGTTTAAAGGCACAGACCAGACATACTTTGTTTCTTCCACTCCCAAGTTTTTAAACATTCAAAACACTACAAGATACATAGTTACATATAGTTACATATATAGTCTAGCTGAAAAAAAGAAAAAAGTCCATCCAGTTCAACCATTAAAAAAAAAAAAAAAAGTTGTAAAGCTTTATTTCCTCTCTGACTATTGTCTGTGGTTAACTCTATCTAAACTTTACTAGCCTCTTCTGAATTTCAGTTTCCAGTTCATACCCACACCAACACCCTTTCATAGAAGCACAGCATGGCTATAGATAAATGTGTACATGTAGCAATCGCTTCTAAATATAGGTAAAATACATAGAAGTGAACTATCATACCTGCAACCTTTCTAATGCAGAGACTATATACAGTTGCAATAAAAAGTATGTGAACCCCTTGGGATTACGTGGAGTTTTGCATGAATTGGGCATAAAATGTGCTCTGAACGTCATCTAAGTCACAACAATAGCAGAACACAGTCTGCTGAACATAATACTACACAAACACTAGATGTTGCCATGGTTTAATTGCACATAACATGTAAACATTCACAGTGCAGGGAGGAAAAAGTATGTGAGGCCCTAACTTAATGACTTCTCCCAAAGCTAATTGGAGCCAGGAGTGAGCCAACCTTGACTCCAATCAGTGTGATGATATTGGATGTGTTGATGACAGCTGTCCTGCCCTTAAAAAACACACACCTGTTTTGGGTTTACTGGTTTCAAGAAGCACTGTCTGATGTGAACCATGCCTCGCAGAAAAGAGCTCTCAGCAGACCTACGATCAAGAATTGTTGACTTGCATGAAGCTGGAAAGGGTTAAAAAAGTATCTCCTAAAGCCTTGATGTTCATGTGTCCACGGTAAGACAGACTGTCTACAAATGGAGAAAGTTTAGCACTGTTGCTACTCTCCCTAGGCTTGATTGTCCTGTAATAATGACTGCAAGAGCACAGCGCAGAATGCTGCATGAGGTAAAGAAGAATCCCGGAGTGTCAGCTAAAGACCTACAGAAATCTCTAGCACATGCTAACATTTTTGTTGACACATCTACAATAAGGAAAACATTAAACAAGAATGGAGTAAATGGGAGGACACCACGGAGGAAGCCATTGCTGTTCAAAAAGAATATTGCAGCACGTTTGAAGTTTGCAAAAGAGCACCTGGATGTTCCACAGCACTACTGGCAAAATATACTGTGGACAGATGAAACCAAGATTGAGTTGTTTGGGAAGAACACACAAGACTATGTGTGGAGAAAAAAAGGCACAGCACACCAACATCAAAACCTCATCCCCACTGTAAAACATGGCGGAGGGAGCATCATGGTTTGGGGCTGCTTTGCTGCCTCAGGGCCTGGACGGATTGTTGTCATTGATGGGAAAATGAATTCCAGAGTTTATCAAGATATTTTGCAGGAAAACGTATGACCATCTGTCCGCCAACTGAAGCTCCGCAGAGGATGGGTGATGCAACAGGACAATGACCCAAAGCATACAAGTAATTCAACAAAACAATGGCTGCAACAGCACAGAATACGCCTTCTGGAGTGGCCCAATCAGTGTCCTGACCTCAACCCGATTGAAATGCTGTGGCATGACCTTAAGAGAGCGATTCACACCAGACATCCCAAGAATATTGCTACACTGAAACAGTTTTGTGAAGAGGAGTGGTCCAAAATTACTCCAGATCGTTGTGCAGGTCTGATCTGCAACTACAGGAAACGTTTGGTTGAGGTTATTGCTGCCAAAGGAGGGTCAACCAGTTATTAAGTCCAAAGGTTCACAAACTTTTTCCTCCCTGCACTGTGAATGTTTACATGTTATGTGCAATTAAACCATGGCAACATCTAATGTTTGTGTAGTATTATGTTCAGCAGACTGTGTTCTTCTATTGTTGTGACTTAGATGACATTCAGAGCACATTTTATGCCCAATTCATGCAAAACTCCATGTAATCCCAAGGGGTTCACATACTTTTTCTCAGGAGGGATTTTGTCCCACTTCTCTTGGCAGATCCTCTCCAAGTCATAAAGGTTTGGTGGCTGACGTTTGGCAACTCGAACTTTCAGCTCCCTCCACAGATTTTCAATCGGATTAAGGTCTGGAGACTGGCTAGGCCACTACAGGACCTTAATGTGCTTCTTCTTGAGCCACTCCTTTGTTGCCTTGGCTGTGTGTTTTGGGTCACTGTCACCCATCCACAACCCATTTTCAATGCCCTGGCTGAGGGAAGAAGGTTCTCACCCAAGATTTGATGGTACATTGCCCCGTCCATTGTCCCTTTGATGCGGTGCAGTTGTCCTGTTCCCTTAGCAGAAAAACACCCCCAAAGCAGAATGTTTCCACCACCATGTTTGACAGTTGGGATGGTGTTCTTGGGGTCATAGGCAGCATTTCTCCTCCTCCAAACACGGCGAGTTGAGTTGATGCCAAAGAGCTTGATTTTATTTCATCTGACCACAAACACTTTCAACCAGTCCTCCTCTGTATCAGAGGAGGACTGGTTGAAAGTGTTGTGGTCAGATGAAATAAAATCGATGAACAGTTCAGTGGCAAACTTCAGACGGGCCTGGACATGTGCTTTCTTGAGCAGAGGGACCTTGAAAGATTTCAATCCTTGTCGGCGTAGTGTGTTAGCAATTGTTTTCTTGGTGACTGTGGTCCCAGCTGCCTGGAGATCATTGACAAGATCCTCATGTGTAGTACTGGGATTCCTCACTGTTCACATGATCATTGACACTCCAGGTGAGATTTTGCATGGTGCACCAGACCTAGGGAGACTGACAGTTGTTTTGTGTTTCTTCCATTTGCGAATGATTGCACCAACTGTTGTCACCTTCTCACCAAGCTGCTTGGCGATAGTTTGGTAGCCCAGTCCAGCCTTGTGTAGGTCTACAGTCTTGTCCCTGACATCCTCGGGCAGCTCTTTGGTCTTTGCCATGGTGGAGAGTTTGGAATTGGATTGTTTGATTGCTCCTGTGGACAGGTGTGTTTTATACAGGTAACAAAATGAGATTAGCAGCACTCCCTTTAAGAGACTGCAATCATTCTCAGGGGCCTCTGCAACTGGACTTTGCTGTAACATTCATCTGGAGGTAACTAATATTAACTATATATACCCGGGTATACTGTATGTGCACACAGGGCTGCTGTTAGAAATAACGGGGCTCCATACAGCCTACTTGACAGGTCCCCCCTAGAAAATATCAAAACAATTTGTTTCACTAAAAATACAATAAAATTATTATTAGTGGACACAAACACAACATAACTTACAAAATTCACGCTAAATCTAAAAAAAATATAACTGTACTGAGTTAACAGAAAAAGCTCTGTGTGAGGTCTTGGGACTCATTCACATGAGCGCTGTGACCTGTACTGTGTAAATCAGCAGTTTGTTTATGTGGCTGGTGCTGTGTGCAGGCAGCCCATGTTACACTATGGAGACATAGCAGCTGTACGAACACAGCCAAAGCTCCTAATTTGGCAGGTGTGTGGGTGCAGGTGTACGGCCCTGAACACAGACAGTGGACATTCGAGGCTACTCAACCACAGCTGAACCCATCAAATTAAAACCTGTGGCTGTGATTGTACAGATGCTGCATCCCCATAGAGCAGGGGTGTCAAGCTGGTGGCCCTCTAGCTGTTTCAAAACTACAACTCCCATGAGGCATTGCAAAATTGACAGTTACAAGCATGACTCCCAAAGGCAGAGGCATGATGGGACTTGTAGTTTCATAACAGCTGGAGGGCCACCAGTTTGACACCCCTGCCATAGAGTAATGTGCAGCTTTATCTGCAATTGTACCAGGGATAAGATGTTCGTAGGTCTCTGTCACCCAGGGTGTACAAAAGTGTACAATTGTGGAGAGCCATGTTAACCTACATGTAGAGTAAACAGGTGTTCATTACATTCCTGTGCAAACAATTCCTTTGATGCTAATTAGGACACAGTGGCTGCACACACACAGATGCTCCTCCCAATCTGACATCCATGTTAGTGCACGGCCCCAATGCTGGGTAGATTTGGGATCATGCACCCATGCTCAAAACCCACACAGATGTCACATTAGGCAAGGTTCACACTGCTGCTTGACAGTCTGCGGGCTGGTTGCAGGAGCAGGAATTGCACCTGTTCGCGCACCCACAGCCAGGGGCGGACTGACAACTCATGGGGCCCCCCCGGGCAATAGGGGATCATGGGGCCCCTGTATCCTTGCCCAAACTCAAAAAAGCCTATGAAAAATTTACCAGGGGCATCTCATGGGACCCCCTACAGACCCCGGGCCCTCGGGCAGTGCCCGAGTTTCCAAATGGTCAGTCCACCCCTGCCCACAGCCAAAATCTTGCTTCTCTTACAAGGCACGTGGGGCTGCCATTTAGAATAAATGACACCCCCACACACTTCTCAGCCCTTGGAGCATTTTCGGGTGAGGAAACCACATGGAAATTGCATGGTCCAAAAGACCATGCGGTTTCACTGCGGCCACATTTTTAAAAAGGTCCATGCACCTTTTTTTTGTGGAAAATGCAGCACAGCAGCCCATTCAAATGATTGGTCTGCCATGCCTGAGCAAACGCAGGCCACATGGCCCTCAATAGTGTGAACCTAGGTTCAGAGCAGCATCTGTGTGTGTGCAACCAGGGGCGGACTGACCATTTGGAAACTCGGGCACTGCCCGAGGGCCCGGGGTAAGTAGGGGGCCTCATGAGATGCCCCTGGTACCTTTTTCATACGCTTTTTTGAGTTTGGGCAAGGACACAGGGGCCCCATGATCCCCTATTGACCGGGGGCCCCATGAGCTCCTGTGTGCAACCACTGCATTCTAATTAAAATCAATGGAACTGCCTACACAAGATGCACAGAACACCTGTGCATCCCTATGCAGGTGAACACAGCTCTTCATGAGGCCTTAGGAATCTTGATGCTAGAATTAAGCTGTAGGTGATAGAAAATGGCACACATTAAGCTGTAAGTTAGTAAATGGTGAAATAGGAGTTGAGCAGTGATACATGGATTTGCAGAGGGAACATGTGATGACAACGTAAGGAGGAAGAGAAGAAGCAAAATTTCATAGGTTAGAGTAGTGGTCTCCAAACTGCGGCCCAGGGGCTGGATGCAGCCCTTTGTTTGCTTTTATCCAGCCATGGGGCACTATTTCATCCACTGATACCAACAATGAGGCACAATTCCCTACACAGACACCAAACTAAGGGGCACAATTCCTTCCAATGACACCAATAATAGGGCACAATTCCTCCCAATGACAACAGTGGGGCACAATTCCTCCCAATGACACCCAACTATGGGCCACAATTCCTCTCAATAATACCAACAATGGGACACAGTTCCTCCCACTGACACAAAAAATGGTCGCAATTCTTCCCACTAACACCAAAAATGGGGCACAATTCCTCCCACTGTTACCAAAGATGGGGAACAACTGATGTTGGGGGCACAATTCGGCCCCCCTCTGAAGGACAGTAAAACTGGCCCTTTGTTTAGAACATTTGGAGACCCCTGGGTTAGAGGGATGAGAGATTTATAGCAAGGAGTGTACACTGATGGGAACCAGTCTGGGGAAGTGGAGAGGGAAACCCAGATACATTAAGAACTCTAAGCTGCTCTGGGAGAAGATACAAAGCAGCTACATGAATGGAATACAGCTGATCAGCTGTGACACAGGCAGAGAGAAAGAGCAGGAAAGAATACAGTTGCAGTATGTGAACCCCACGTGGAGTTTTGCATGAATTGGGCATAAAATGTGCTCTGAACGTCATTCTAAGTCACAACAATAAAAGAACACACTGAACATAATACTACACAAAAATTAGATGTTGGGGCACATAACATGTAAACATTCACAGTGCAGGGAGGAAAAAGTATTTCCTAGCTTAATGACTTCTGAGCTAATTGGAGCCAGAAGTGAGCCAACCTTGAAAATCAGGGATGATATTGGATGTGTTGCTGACAGCTGTCCTGCCCTTAAAAAAAACACACACTGTTTGGGTTTACTGGTTTCAAGAAGCACTGTCTGATGTGAACCATGCCACAGAAAAGAGCTCTCAGAAGACCTACGATCAATTGGACTTGCATGAAGCTGGACAAAGGGTTACAAAAGTATCTTCAAAAGCCTTGATGTTCATAAAGTCCACTGACAGGACTGTCTACAAATGGAAAAGTTTAGCACTGTTGCTACCTTAGGCTTGTCGTCCTGTAAAAATGACTGCAAGAGCACAGCGCAGACATGAGGTTGTCAGCTAAAGACCTACAGAAATCTCTGGCACCCATTTTTGGACAATCTACAATAAGGAAAACATTAAACAAGAATGGAGTACATGGGAGGACACCACGGAGGAAGCCATTGCTGTCCAAAAAGAATATTGCAGCACGTTTGAAGTTTGCAAAAGAGCACCTGGATGTTCCACAGCACTACTGGCAAAAATATACTGTGGACAGATGAAACCCAAGATTGAGTTGTTTGGGAAGAACACACAACACTATGTGTACACAAAAAAAGGGGAACCAACATCAAAACCCATCCCCACTGGGGAGCATCATGGAGAGGGAAACCCATGGGAAAATGAATTCCAGAGTTGATCAAGACATTTTGCAGGAAAACGTACGACCATCTGTCCGCCAACTGAAGCTCCGCAGAGGATGGGTGATGCAACAGGATGACCCAAAGCATACAAGTAATTCAACAAAACAATGGCTGCAACAGCACAGAATACGCCTTCTGGAGTAGCCCAGTCAGAGTCCTGACCTCAACCCGATTGAAATGCTGTGGCATGACCTTAAGAGAGCGATTTCACACCAGACATCCAAAGAATATTGCTACACTGAAACAGTTTTGTGAAGAGGAGTGGTCCAAAATTACTCCAGATCGTTGTGCAGGTCTGATCTGCAACTACAGGAAACGTTTGGTTGAGGTTATTGCTCCCAAAGGAGGGTCAACCAGTTATTAAGTCCAAAGGTTCACATACTTTTTCCTCCCTGCACTGTGAATGTTTACATGTTATGTGCAATTAAACCATGGCAACATCTAATGTTTGTGTAGTATTATGTTCAGCAGACTGTGTTCTTCTATTGTTGTACTTAGATGGTTCAGAGCACATTTTGTGCCCAAATCATGCAAAACTCCACGTAATCCCAAGGGGTTCACATACTTTTTCTTGCAACTGTATATGGCTGGGAAGCTGGAGCAAGGAATTGGAAGAGAGAGAGAGGGAGAGAGAGACAGGATAGATCAGATGGGACAAGGAGTACAGGAGTGAAGGTAAATATAAGGGAATGTGAACAAGCTGAAACAGACTGGGGAAGCACAGCTAATATCCAGAGCACTGAGCTGTGTTGTAAGAGAATGACAGGAGGCTGTGGAGTACAGCTGAGCTTCATGTAGCAGAAATGCAGAGTGAAGGAGGAGAGAGCCGCTTGTCAGCTGCCCAGGCCCCCCTTTTTGCAGTGATGGGGCCTGAGCCCCCTACAGGAGGATCGGTGCTACCTCCTTATCAGCGGCCCTGTGTGCACAATTCCAACAGGACTCTTGTTGGGCCCCCTTGCTTATAATACCTATTTGTACATTGAATGTATGTACTATTATTAATCTTTATTATATAAAGCTCATCAATTTTCCATACTGGTGTGCATAAATATACTTACAGGTAATGTTATATGCTGGCTGCTCCCACTTATTTTGATTAGATTACTGTTTACTTACCTAGGAAGGGAACCCCCTCTTCACAGAGGCCCTGTCCTGGCTGGAGGCACTGCCAACTTTATTGTTAAATCCACTCTTCCACTTAGCGAAGGTTCTGGTTTTCTTATTTACCTACAGAAACAATTGAGTACTGTCCGTGATACTTGTTTATTTGCACTAACATACAATTTTGAGGACAAGCTTTCGGGGTATATCCCCTTTTCAAAGTCCAAACAGTACTATTACAAATCACAAAGTTTAAGCAGAATGTTAGAAGGGATTAAAAAAAAAAAATAGGCTACAGATAAGATACATCTTATTTACCTACAAGTTTAGTGCAATATAATGTTTGTGGAGGACCATTTCTCATACCCCCCTCCTCCCAAAGAGGGCTACAGACATACACTCACTGGCCACTTTATTAGGTACACCTTGCTAGTATCGAGTTGGACCCCCTTTTGTCTTCAGAACTGCCTTAATTCTTCCTGGCATAGATTCAACAAGGTGTTGGAAACATTCCTCAGAGATTTTGGTCCATATTGACATGATAGCATCACGCAGTGCTGCAGATTTGTCGGCCGCACATCCATAATGCGAATCTCCCAGTCTACCATATCCCAGAGGTGCTCTACTGGATTGAGATCTGGTGACTGTGGAGGCCATTGGAGTACAGTGAACTCATTGTCATGTTCAAGAAACCAGCTTGAGATGATTTGAGCTTTGTGACATGGTGCATTAGCCTGCTGGAAGTAGCCATCAGAGGATGGGTACACTGTAGTCGTAAAGGGATGGACATGGTCAGCAACAATACTCAGGTAGGCATTTAAACAATGCTCAGTTGGTACTAAGGGGCCCAAAGTGTGCCAAGAAATTATCCCCCACACCATTACACTACCACCACCACCAACCTGAACTGGTGATACAAGGCAGTATGGATCCATGCTTTCATGTTGTTTACGCCAAATTCTGACCCTACCATCTGAATGTCGCAGCTGAAATCAAGACTCATCAGATGAGGCAAGGATTTTCCAGTCTTCTATTGTCTAATTTTGGTGAGCCTGTGCAAATTGTAGCTTCCGTTTCTTGTTCTTAGCTGACAACAGTGGCACCCGGTGTGGTCTTCTGCTGCTGTAGCCCATCTGCTTCAAGGCTGGACGTGCTGTACGTTCAGAGATGGTATTCTGCATACCTTGGTTGTAACGAGTGCTTATTTGAGTTACTGTTGCCTTTCTATTGTCTTGAACTAGTCTGCCCATTCTCTCTGACCTCTGATATCAACAAGGCATTCTCATCCATACAACTGCCGCTCACTGGATATTTTCTCTTTTTCAGACCATTTTCTGTAAACCCTAGAGATGGTTTGTAACGTACGTGTGACATGATGTAACATGCCTGTGACATAAATGTACAGATTTGAGTAGATAAATGTGATCAGTAGCAATATGTAATCGTAACTGTAGGGACATTCCATTGTCAATAAGTATATTCTGTAGGGACATTCCATTGTCATTAAGGATGTATATTCAGTCCTTGTCATCAGGGAAATAAAGTACTCAGACAGTGGTCATCAATTAGCATCAATTAGGCTGAAAAGCCCGGCTTCTGGGATATGACACCGTTGTGTTAATAA